AGAGTTGCAGAAGATTCTGAAGTCGTCTGAAGGCCGATCTGAAGCCAATGGCGATTTTATTGAATAAATTTACTCTATAGCATTTCATTTTTGTGTATTTTTCGTAAATATATATGTTAAAATGTGACGTCAGTGTTATTTTCATTTTTGAGGCATTTAGACGACAATTTATCCATCGCACCCTGTGTATATAATCCCCCCCAAAAAAAAACATATTGCTAAGACGAATAGAAAGCCTGCGCAGGCGAGCAAAGAAAAACTTAATAAAAAGAAAAACCAACATCCAATAAAACAAAACCCACGAAAATAAGCGACAGACGGAAATGAGAAACTGAAACTTAAATCAAGGAAAAAAAAAAGCAAAAGACAGATAGGTACCCTAACAGTAACAAACAGTGCTTAATGTCTGTTACTAAAACAAACCAATTGTGTTTCCCAGAGTCACAACATACCATTCTGGTTGCCTGACAATCGCGTAGCATGAAACTTAATCTAGGTCTTCCGTAGGGTAAACCTATAAAAATCCAGAAATAATTTATTACATGGAACCTATATATATATATATATATATATATATATATATATATATATATATATATATATATATATATATATACATAAGTATTATATAATATAAGAAAATATAAAAATATATAAGGTCTTGAAGTCAACCTCAGAAACAGACTGTTGTATCGGGCTAAACCTATTTATATATATGGAGAATATTCTGGCGGTTATTTTGGGGGGCGTGTTTAATTTATTTATTTTGGGGCGGCTTGGTTCATTTCAATAATTTATTACATTGGAACCTTTTTATTAACGTAGGTCTGTTTTATCACCCGAAAAAAAAAAAATATTGTATATATAAAATATATCGTATTCAATAGAATGTGCATATATATATATATATATATATATATATATATATATATATATATATATATATATATATATATATATATATATATATATTCGTGTGTGTGTGTGTGTTCATGAATTGTGTGTGTGTGTGTGTGTGTGTGTACATATATATATATATATACACAATATATATATATATATAATTATTTTTTTATAAAAAATTTATAACATAAGTATGTTAAAAATAAAAAATATTTTGTTTCATATAAGTGATGGTGTTGAAAAGAAAATAAATAAAAGTTTCAGATGAATTAACGATCCCTACACTAGGGGAACATTGTTACAAAAGCTAGAATAACCAACCCTCAGAAAGATTCAAAAGCTTGACAACAAAATCCTGCTATTATAGCTAGACTGTTTTTTACAACTAATAATTATAAATTTATATGTTAAAAATTAAAAACTGGCAATTTTAAAATCCAAATTTAATCTAAGAAAAAAAAATCGTCATATGTTTATTCAAATGCTGAATTTTTCCTCAACTATTTATATATGGGTTTTAAAGTTTGAATATGGTCTTAAACTCACGCGACACAACAAAAACACAATCAGGTACATACGCATCCAGACATATTGTGGGTAACACACACACACACACACACAAATATACACACACACTTAAAAAAAAAAAAAAAAAAAAAGAGGTGGGGGAATACATATTTTGGGGGAAAAAGGAGACGGAAATCTTGTTTATTTATTTATTTATTTGAATACACTCTACATCATTTATTTTACAAACATACATCCACAATGTTTTAAATCATTTTCATTTTTATAATTATTTATTCTTTTTGTTTTTTAAAATTTTTATTTAACGTAAATATCAATAAAAATATAATATATTATATAAGTTGATAATATTCGGACAGTTTTAAAACAAATTAACACACAAAAAAAAAAAAATATATTTATCATACCATATACGAACAGAAAAAAAAAACATAAACATTAGATCGCATATCTATGATAAAAGTTGTATAAAATATAAACTAAATAAACATAGACTTTATGCACACATTGTATAAAAAAAACAGTCATGATATACCAAAAGTTTCCATTACAATACAAAAACTCATACATATAGGTTCCAACACACACACCTATATATATATATATATATATATATATATATATATATATAAACATATATATATCCATAAATATATCTACCTTGCATACAAAAAACAAATGTTCAACCAAATACATATATAAACGAACTTTAAACATAAATATACCTTTCAAACACCAGCACACAGAATATACATATCGAATACAAATATATAAACACATTCATACAAACAGAAATGATTCAAATACATTTAGACATAAGTTATATATTATATATATATACACACACATATTATAATTGAATATATATATATATATATATTGTGGCAAAAGTGTGTGTCCCGTGTGTCAGTGTGTGTGTGTGTGTGATTTAATCATATACATACCTGTAACAATACATACATACATATACACATACATATATATATGCATATATACATATATATATATATATATATATATACATATACACACATACACACATATATATATATATATATATATATATATATATAAAACATATATATATATATATATCTCTACATACATACATACATATATGACAATATCACAACATATATATAAACATAAATAAAACTTTCATAAAAATATATATAAACATTATAATTTTAAAAAAAAAAAATACATTTTTTTCTATATATATACATAAATAAATATATATATATTCAATTAAACAATACACACTTATATCGTAAATTATGCATAAAAATACTAATCTATTAAAAATACAGCGACATATCAATCATTTAAAGTATAAACATATATATTTTTTTTCTTTTCTAAGAAACTTAATAGTGATTAAATTTGGTTTTAAAATAAATTTTATCATATAAATTTATAAATTAGTTAAAAAATTTTTTTAATATTACACGTATTTAAAAGATCTAAATAGTAATAGCAGGATTTTGTTGTCAAAATCTTTCGATTTTTGATTGGTTATTCTAGCTTTTGTAACAATGCTGCTAACAATCTGAAACTTTTAAAACCATTTATTTTCTTTTCAACACCATCACTTGATAAGACACAGAGTCTCTAAATTTTTTATAAAAATAATTATATCTGCTCTAAACTTTAAGAATAGTATATTGAAATTCATTCATACCAATTATATACTTTTGATATATATATATATATTCAATTAAAAGGCTATATATATATATGACGTCACACACTACAAAATAGTTTTTTATAAATAAAATAAAATGATTCTACAAAGTAAAATCGACCCTGCTAACAAGACGCTCCTCTGTAGCTTAAACTGGTATAGCACGTTAGGCTATATGACGGTTCAGTGCAGGATGCAGGTTCAATTCCTGCGAAAAATTCTATGAAAATTTCTCGGACTATAAATAATTATAAAGAGAGCATTTACTCAAATATTTGTTATTCGTTATTTTTATAGATAAAATTTATTTAAGAAAATGTACTTTTTTAATTAAACAGAGCATTTACTTAAATAAATTGTATCCATAAAATAACGCATAAAAAGAAAATATATCAAATAATTGTCAGACTTAATCCATGTCATGCCACTTTGACGGAAAATTTACCAGTAAAAAAGAATTCTCTTATCACTATATTTGTACAAGAACGCACAACCTTAAAATTCAAATTCAAACTCAGCGTTGCGACTGCACGCTCCAAAACAATAACACATTTCTAATAGCATTTTTCGGATTACAATACATCTATTTTCGTTGTCCTCTTATTACTGAGAGTAAAAACAAGAACAAAATCTATTCCATACCTGACAAAAACTTGTAGGAGCAGACGAAAGCATGTAAAAATAATAAGAATTTATGCAACAGAAATTTATAAAACAAGGATCTTTTCATTCATAAACAGGTTCGGGGTTTTTGTATATTATTTGGATTGATCGCAATGATGGATTTCTCGCCAATTAAATCATTAACCTTTGTATTTGTTTTTTGTATGAATAATTCATGAATATATATATATATATATATATATATATATATATATATATATAGAGAGAGAGAGAGAGAGAGAGAGAGATAGATAGATAGATAGATAGATAGATAGATATCACTTGATAATTAGTAGGGATAATTCCAAAGAGGATATAAATCCAAAGAGAGCTCAATGTAATAACAGAACAATATAATAATGAATACAGAATCCTTATAAATCTATTCGATCAGGTGATAATTTATTTCGTGGACGTCTGACGTCCACGGCATCAGACCAATTTTACACGCGCACACACACACACACACACACACACATATATATATATATATATATATATATATATATATATATATATATATATATATATAATGAATACAGAATCCTTAAAAATTCATCAGATCAGGTTATAATTTATTTCTTGGACCACATGTTCATCTCTTCAGACCAATGGACATGAGGACCAAGAAATAAATTTATAACCTGATCTGATGGATTTTAAGGATTCTGTATTTATTATATATATATATATATATATATATATATATATATATATATATATATGAAGAATGGACTTGTGTTTAAACTAACTTTTATTGCTGCAAACGTTATTATAGCGGGAACATTTGAAACACACGCCTCATTTTTATTTATTAAACAATGTGCATTACTCTGCGTATTCGAGAAAATGTGTCCTTTGTCGGGGAAACCATCGTTTAATCCGACATGCTTTACCGAAGTTCTTCGGGGGTGAGCGGTAGAGAGAGAGAGAGATAGAGAGAGAGAGAGAGAATGTGCATTTCAGTGATTGATTGATTTTGTTTTCTACGGCTCATCAACACTTTGCAGGCGATTTAAATCCAGAAAATATTATTTTAAACATATGGTTTGGTGATACAAGTCTTACTAATTAACCCATAGCTGGGAGGGGTGAATAGGGTTATTGATACCTTTCTCAGGGGTGTTTGCGCCTAAATGAATATAACGGAGCTGGAATTGGAATTTGGCTCTCCCATTAATAATTCCGAGCCATAATCCATTACACCACCCGCACATTCAAGCTTACCGCACATGATATTCTCAAACGGTCAGTCATCTAGATACTGACCAGATTCCACGTCGCTTAACTTCGGTGATCGTAAGGGAACAGGTGTTTCAATATGATGTGGCCGTAAGCCTGAATGGGTATTTAATTAGCAAGTTCGTCCATACAAATTTATTTTTTAAATTCAGCGCATAAGCTTTGTCTATTTAATTCTTTATTATATTTTTTCCAATTTCCAAATAAAATGTACATCTGGATCGAAGTTACGAATAAACTGTCAAAAGTTCATGTTTTTATTTGTCTCCATTATTTTCGAATACTTCAGACATTATCAAGAACATATATATGTCTTTCGTTCTGCCGTCCTGGGTATGACGATAAACTGCATCCGCGTCCTGGGTATGATGATAAACTGCTTCCGCGTCCTGGGTATGATGATAAACTACATCTCCGTCCTGGGCAAGACGATAAACTACATCTGATAACAAGGCCTCTGATCAGGAGGTTTTGAGGAGCATGGAACCACTTCTTAAATTTTGATGTTCCCAGGTCCGCCCTGACTCGGGGTGGTAGCACTTGTTAGGGTCGCAGCTATGGGCAAATAGTTAACCCCAAACTGTGATCAAAACACTATGAAAGTGTAAAAATAGGTTTCAATACCAGCAATACTTTTTTGTAAAAAATATTACCAGTAATAAATTATTACCAGCAATATATTTTTGAAGAAAAATTTTTTACCAGCAATAAAAATCTTGTCGGCATGAAATAACCCATTGAGGTTGATATACCATAAAGCAAAACAAAACAAACTAAACCAAACCCTCGTTCTCACTTGCTTTTTGTATTTCTACACTTTTATCATTTTACTTGTTGGTACCTAGTACCAAGCAAAGAGAGAATGGGAAATAGAGAGAGACAGAGAGAACGAGAGTGAGAGAAAGAGAGAAAGAAAGAGAGAGATGCAAAACAAGAAAAAAGTGCATTTTCATTCCTTCTCACTCTCTCTGTCACTCTGTCTCTGTCTGTCTGTCTCTCTCTCACTCTCCCCCCCTCTCTCTCTCTCTCTCGTCCTGTTTTCCATCATTTCTCTAACTCTTCATTCTCCCCGCCCCCTTCCTTTCCTTTCCACTCCATTCTGGCTAATTTCTTTTCTCAAATTCCCTGTGTCATTTTCCAGAGAGATTTATCTCATATCAATTAATGAAAGCTCAAAGAGGAATTCCTCAAAATCGGCCCGGAACACGGCAGCTGCGTTTCTCTCCCGTTCTCATTGACCTGACCGACTTCGTGTAAATAATAAGATTACCTGGAGACATAACAAATGTAAAAATGTTAGGTCAATAGATCTTATTTCTTTCTTTCTCTCTATCATTCTCTTTAAAATGAGATTTATTTTGATTTTCCCGAATAACTTGAAAGCAGTTTTTTTTTTTGCGATATGATGAGCGGTTACTGCAAAGTTCTCGGCCCGCTAAACTTCCAAAAATGTAAACAAGTGATAAAAAATCAGAATTTTTCGTTTTTAATGCCGACTTGGTCTGTCTGAAAATGTTTCAGCACCATCCGACATGCTGCAATTATATCGGGAATCAGTTGATTACTTCATAACAAAATAAAACTGATCCCTCGCTTTATGTCCAGTAGGGTTTTAGATTGAATAGACAAGGGAATGCTTAAAAAGCTCTCGGTTGAACTTAAATATAATCAAATCATCAAACATCAGTTTTGGTTTTTTTTTTATTTATTTACACTATTTATATTGTTCAGACTGTTGTCCCCATCATTATTGTTATATTCACGACGTTTCAGCCGTTGTATTCTCCGGCCTTTTTCGGGTTATATACGCTTGAATTTCGAACCGGAGTGTACAACGGCCAAAACGTCGTAAATATGACAACAAAGTTCCCATATCTGACGAATCGTCAGAATTTTCCTTTAATCCATTCTTCTCTTCCAGGACTTTCATGTACCCATATCTGACCAATCGTCAGACCTTTACTTTAATTCATTATTCTCATGCAGAACTTTTCAGTTCTCATATCTGACCAAATAACAAATCGTCAGACTTTTCCTTTAATCCATTCTCCTCTTCCAGAATTTTCTAGTTCCCATATCTAACCAAATGACCAATCGTCAGACTTTTACTTTTATCCATTCTTCTCTTTCAGAACTACCTAGTTCCCATATCTGACAAAATAACCAATCTTCAGACTTTTCATTTAATCCATTCTTCTCTTCCAGAAATTTCCAGTTCCCATATCTGACCAAATGACCAATCATCAGACTTTTACTTTAATCCATTCTTCTCTTCCAGAACTTTCTAGTTCCCATATCTAACCAAATGACAAATCGTCAGACTTTTTCTTTTATCCATTCTTCTCTTTCAGAACTTCCTAGTTCCCATATCTGACAAAATAACCAATCTTCAGACTTTTCATTCAATCCATTCTTCTCTTCCAGAACTTTCCAGTTCCTATATCTGACCAATAGTCAGACTTTTTCTTTAATCCATTCTTCTCTTCCAGAACTTCCTAGTTCCCATATCTAACCAAATGACCAATCGTCAGACTTTTACTTTTATCCATTCTTCTCTTTCAGAACTTCCTAGTTCCCATATCTGACAAAATAACCAATCTTCAGACTTTTCATTTAATTCATTCTTCTCTTCCAGAACTTTCAACTTCCCATATCTGACCAAATGACCAATCGTCAGACTTTTACTTTAATTCATTCTTCTCATGCAGAACTTTAAAATTCCCATATCTGACCTATCGTCAGACTTTTACTTTAATCCATTCTTCTCTTGCAGAAGTTTTCAGTTCCCATATCTGGACCAAATGACAAATCGTCAGACTTTTCCTTTAATCCATTCTTCTCTTCCAGAACTTTCAATTTACCATCATACATCAATGCATTTTTTAATCACTTTACTCCAAGTAAGGCGATAATGCTACTTAGACACCATGTGTTACTGATAGTAAAAGAGGATTACAATACTTTAGTTAGGAAAAGGACAATAGAAGTGTAGGTATGGAAGACAGAAATGAGGATTGGAAATCCGAAGAGTCCGAAAAAAGAAACTATTAGAATAGAACTTACGGTTCCATGAAAATAACTCGATGAAACGATGAGACCTTGTAGCCAATCTAGTAGTAGGCTTAAATTGGCAAACTTGTTCCTTCGTGTTCGCAAAGAAACGCAGTGTCAATCGGATGGTTTTACCCTTGACGCCGTTATTATTTTAACTACCTTCACTCCCTTGCAACGTTGACGGTTTTACAAAGCGATAATTAGAATTTTGATAAAACTTAAACATATGAAACTGAATTTATACATTTTGTATCGTGTTTATTTGGCTATGTCTGTAGATATGTTTGCATTTGTATGTATGTGTGCATATATACACATATGCTTAAAGATATACACAAGTTTGGATATGTGTGTAAATTTACATTTATATGTATTCATCAATGTATGTACGTATGTATGTGTGTGTTTATGTATATATATATATAGGTGTGTGTATGTGTGTTTTTGTATATATGTGGTGTGGGCTTATGCATGAAATTGGATTTAATATATATATATATATATATATATATATATATATATATATATATATATATATATATATGTGTAAAAGATAGATGGATATGTATATGGATGTCTTTCCGTATGGGATATATATATATATATATATATATATATAAATGTGTGTGTGTGTGTGTGTACTGAGGTAATATGTGTATACATATATGTATGTGTATATTTGTGTGCATATATATATATATATATATATATATATATATATATATATATATATGTGAATGTTTCTATAAGTGCATGTATGTGTATATATGTGTGTGTGTGTGTGTCGTTTGGAGGACTTGCATATAAGATTTATATATATGTATGACAGTGTTTTTTTGTGTGTTTGGAGTTATTTGGAGTTATTGTTTTTGCCATAAACGTATATATTTGTTGTTTATAATGTATAATATAGATGTGTATAGGGTTGTATGTATGTAGATGCATGTAGATGTGTATATGTATTGTTGTATATATGTATGTATGTATGTATTAACCCCTATTTATGTACTTGTGTGTAAATTATTTGTGGGCGATGTGTTTACTGCGTTGTTTGCCTAATTAGACTTCTGTTTTAATTGTAAGTGTTATCATTGCTATGTATGTGTTAGAAATTGAATGTGTAAAATACAATTTTATCCTGATTTGGGGCCACAAGATATATAACATTGAAAGGTTTGTTTACACACGCACGCACACACACACACACACACACATTTTACTATTACTATATTTTTCTGTTTTTATATTTTTTATATTCTTCTATATTTTACTATTATTATATTTTTCTGTTTTATATTTTTATATTTTTTATATTTTACTATTACTATATTTTTGTTTTTATATTTTTTATATTTTTCTATATTTTACTATTACTATTTTTTGTTTTATATTTTTTTATATTTTTCTATTACTATTTTTTTATTACTATTATTTTTTATATACTTATTTTTCTCCACATTTATTAGTATTTATTATTAATAATACTTTTATTGTTAATATATTTGCCTTTATTTGGAATATCTTCAGTAACTTTATAACTAATATTAAAGATAGTTTTACCTTTTCTTTTCTCTCTCTCTCTTTCACTCTCTTTATATATATATATATATATATATATATATATATGTGTGTGTGTGTGTGTGTGTGTGTGTGTGTGTGTGTGTGTTATATGCATTTTTAACTGATTATATTTTTATGTTAAATTAGAAATCTTTACGAGAAAAATACATGATTTTTTCAGGAAATTCTTAAGTTCCCATTTATCTTTAATATCAAAGGACTTTTTTTCTTATTTTTTTCATTTTAATGTATACGTAAGTGTCATAATCGTAGGCCAGACAGGATATTTCGATTACACACATAACCATCTTTCACTAATTTCCCCTTCCTTTCCTTTCTTCTTTTCTTTTTCACTTTTTTCCTTTCATGTGTCTTTAACTGTCACAGTTGATGTATCCATGTTTTCCGTAGTCTCTATTTTAAATTAGGTCAACAAGTCGAAAGCCAGTTGTTTTAACTGAAACTAACTTCTAGTCGTCT